TGGACGCCATGGTGACCTATTTTTGATTTACAAACAACACAAAGTGTCGAAGAGTGAGGCTTTCATTTCCACGATCTATATCTTTTATCACTAGCTATGAAGAAACTATATGTTTGGATGCCATGCTGGACGCTCCCATAACCTTCTTGTCGAAACCATATCACTCTTCTATGAGCGTGTCCATTGCAATCGAGGTGCAATGGTTTCGGAGAGAATTGTGAGGGGTAGTTTTATGGTGGTGGCTGGCGGCATGCCACGTCATGACATGGAAATGGAAAAATTACTGTTTATACCTGTACGGTACATGTTCTACAGATAACAGATAGACCACTAGCTACCGGTAGTACTAGCTAGCTAGTACCGGTAGTACAGGGTGGCAAAATACTGGACACGCTACAGGTTCCGGTACGGTGAAGCGGAGAAGAAGAGTGTCTTTTAATTAATTAGGAAGAAATCCAGGCATAGTTTTGTGCCCATGCTCTGGTTCCACAATGTCACGATGTACTATATCTTTGACATAATGGTCTCCTATCCGGCAAAACAGACAAGAAGGAGTACATGTGTAAGAGCCAGTGTATTGGCTACCAAAAGATAAGTGTGATTCGAGAGGATTTTTAAAAAGACATGTCTACTGTACTTGCTGATGCCAGTCTTCCCCGTTTCGATCACCACCTGTGGCAATTGAACTGTGGACTGCTGCTTGAACGCTTCAGAACGCACAGGACAAGCATCCAACATCCAACCAGCTTCCAAAAGCTAGTCCAAAGCTCTTAAAAAGTTGCAACCAAACCAATCAGCTCCAAATCTCACTTTGCTTCGAGCTCGCCACTAAAAAAAGAAATTAGGAACGTCCTGAACGGAGAATTCTGAACAATGAACGAAAGGCAGGAAAGTCAGACTACCAGCAACGCAAATGCTGCCAACGCCGAGGAAGATGTCGAGACAGCTCGACATGATGATGAAAGCGTCCACAGCAATGGTGGAACTGTCTCGGAGGATGTGCTCCTCGAGAAGATTGTTGCTGCTCGCCTTGGTACTCAAAATACTCCTTGTTCCCTTCCGTCGGCCAACCAATCGACTGAGTCTGAGGCCGAGGCTGGCGACGAGGAGTGTTTGGACGGAGACGAGCTCGGGGAGCTGGACCACCCAACAGATACCCGGTTGACACCAACTGACCTGACGAAGATCGTTGCAGCTCGTCTCGGACGCAGCAATGGTACCTTTCCCGGCAACAGCGATGACAACAGCGATGACAACAGCGGACGCAACACTCCCGAAGTGCTACCAGAAACTACCAAGACTAACCTTGCCGCAGCGGCGTCGACCATGGCTCCCAAAATCCAATTAGATGTCAGCAAAAAGCTCGGCACCACCAGGGCTTCGGAAGGACAAGATTCCTACCCTCCGCCACCGCCGCCGCAACACCAGCAGCCTCAACGAACTACGCCGGATGCCTTTTCAGCACCTGGCGCTTATGCCCTTGCTCCAGACCCACAATTCCTGAATCCAGGGATTCAAGACATTGTCACTGATGTGGAAATGGCTGGAAGGCAAGTGTCAACCGACGTCTCTGCCACAGACACTCATGGCAGTGGTCTTGGGGTTGCCAATGCTGTTGATGACATTGATGTTGATCAAATTCCGGTGGCATCTGATTGGAATAGTTCAGAAGCTAATCGCATCGAGGACAATGGGATGAAACAAACTTTCATATATGCCTGTGTCGTGGTTTTGGTGATGATTGGAGTTTTGGTGGTATCTATCAGCATCACACTGGCCCAAGCTGATGAGAAACAGGCTGTGATCAAACCAGCAGACCCCTTCAACCACACTCTCGATGCCCCGGTAAATTCAAGCCCAACTATTCAGCTTACTCCAGAAAGCTACCTCCAGTCAATCCTACCAAGCTATTCGTGGAGGTACATTGACGATAGTAGGTCACCGCAGGCTATGGCCTATGACTGGCTTCTTGGCGACCCTTACTTGCTCAACTATGCACATCCTTGGTGAGTCTTGCAACGATATGCAATGGCTACGTTCTTCTTTGCTCTAGATGGTCCACACTGGTTCAAGAAGGAAAACTGGATTGACCACTCACTCCATGAATGCGCCTGGGAGTTCTCTAAAACATTTGGTGATGTCAGAGATAGTCAGGATTTGCAAGCCACATATGAGTTTGCCTATGTCGATGCTAGTGTAACCATCCCATGTGAAATAGACCCGAATGGCACAATGTCCAATGTGAGCCATATACAACAAGGTGGTCATATCCTGCATTTCTGGATGAACAACAACAACTTGAGGGGTGCACTTCCATTGGAATTCTACGAGCTCAGTCATCTGCAAAGCATCTCCATGACTTCAAATGCCATCACTGGGGTTCTGTCTGAAAGCATTGTGTCTCTTACTAATCTGCAGGCATTCCAGTTTGCGCAAATGATTGGTCAGGAGCTCCGCCATCAGCGATTCTGCTGCTTCCAAACCTCACATCACTGCTTTTCTACAACAACAATGGGATCAAGGGGACTCTGCCAACTGAGATTGGCAAGGCATCCAGTGAGTATAGACAGTTGCAGCCATGGTCCAAGATGATGACTTGCTCCTTACCAAAGTTTGTGTCTTTGCATAATGCATGGAACAGACCTAAAGCATCTTGTCATGGATGAGAATGGATTCTTTGGACCAGTCCCATCTGAACTAGGACTACTCACAAATCTTGAAACGTTGTACCTTGATTGGAACGACTTCACAGGAACACTGCCTTCTGAGCTGGGGCTCATGAAGTCTGCCAAGTTCTTTTCATGTCACAACAACAAAGAGTTGACTGGGACACTGCGTAAGTATGGTCACGTCATGTTTTTGTGACATGGTCTCTCACATCCACCCATACTAACAAAGTGTGGATATCAGCAACCGAACTGGGAAACTTGGGCAACTTGGAACATCTTTATTTTGATGACAACTTGTTCACAGGTAAGAGACTTGCAATTGTTTACTTTTGCAACCAAAGGCACCATCTCTAATTCTCCTTCTATCTGCAGGAACAGTCCCAACGGAATTGGGTAGGAATCTAAACATGAGGCTCTACCACATGCACAACAATTTGATGAGTGGAACACTTCCCACTGAGCTCTCAAACTTGTCTCGGTTGACAAGATTCTACTGCGACAGACTTGGTTTGACAGGAGCAATACCATCAGAATATGGAAGGTTGCAAGCATTGGAAGACTTCCAATGCTTTGAGAATGAATTCACTGGGAAACTCCCCAGTGAATTTGGCTTGCTGACAGAGCTTTTCTATTTTGATCTTCTGGAGACTGACTTGACTGGAACAATCCGTAGGTGTCCACTTTCCTTTCCTGCTATCAGTTGTCACCGTGGTTGGTTCTCACTGCTTTTTCCTTGATTCAATGTCAATTTTAATCAGCCCTGGAATATGCACAACTAACCAACATCGCACACTTGTGGCTTTCAGACAATAACCTCTCTGGTATGATTCCCTCTGAGCTTGGGACCTGGACTTTGTTGGAAAAAGTTGGTCTTGATGACAACTCCTTTACAGGAAAGATTCCTAGCGAGCTCTTTGAATCAAAAAAGTTGAGAGAGATACTGTTTCACGGCAACAAACTTACAGGATCACTCCCAACAGAGCTGTTCAGCCATCCAAGCCTTGAAAGGTTGTACATCGACAGGAACCCACTGGAACCAGGCCCATTTCCTACAGAGCTTGGACAGATATCCACGCTGGAGAGACTACGTGCATCAAATGTGGGCTTTGTTGGAGTCCTCCCTTCTGAATTGGGGTTGTGGACATCGTTGGAGAGGGTTGTGGTTACAGACAATGACCTATGGGGGACCATACCAAGGGAATGGGAGGAGTTGCCTCTGGAAGAGGTTGAGCTTGGCAGAACTCTCATTTCTGGGCAGCTACCATCAAACATGTGGAATGTTGAGTTCCTTGATACAAGTGACACTCTCATATCCGGCACAATCCCATCTGGCCTCTGGATGTTGGAAGGGCTTGATATCCACAAGACACTCATCTCTGGAACAATCCCATCTGGCCTGTTGAACTTGGAAGGGATTGATATGCGTGACACTCTGATTTCTGGAACGATTCCAGCCAGCATGTGTCCAATATACCTGCTCTTTAACTGCAGCGCACACCTGTGTGGCTGCTTTTGTCCCTGTCTAGACTTTCTGGGGGCATCAGAACCTCAACATACCACCAGCACCCTGCCTGTGAGCATTGAGACTGAGACTGCTGTTTCCCTCAATTCATCCAGCTACACAGTATCCATGAATGCTACAGCTGCTTCCTCAAACAACAGCCAGCACTGGTGATGATGCCACCTCTTTACAAGAATCATTTTGTACAAACGCTTCATTTCTATCTTCTCTAACACCTAATCTGCAGATGTGAGACAGCCCCACTCTCTTCTACATAATTTAATGTGCAGCTACCAATCACAGCCCTTTCGGGGACTTTGGTCACAAATGCATCACAGAATATTGCCACCAGCAAGAAGAGGATTGTCGATATTGCAGCAGGCGACTTCATTTGGTTCCAAAAGTGCAGAATGCAGTACAGTAGATAGCTTTGTATTGTCCGTCTCAACGAAGAATGTGTGGACCATGAGCGCTATGGTTGACATGGTTGGTACCAGAAGAAAAAACAAATGGTACTCTAGTAGCTACAGTACATGTAGTGCTACTTGTAGGGTAATTGCGGAAAGGATCGCGGGAACCAAAGCGTACAGCGTGACTGTTACTCGATAAAACCCCAACCCTCCGTTTCAAACCAAACTCTCATCGCGATTTCGCTAGAAACCGGTACTCTAGCTGGCTACTAGCTAGCTACTAGCTAGCTAGCTAGTAACGGTAGAGTAGAAACAGCCACACCGCAACCCCAACACCCCAACACAGTAACAGTCTCCCAGCGTTTCTCGTCTTCCCGACAATTCTCAAGACCCAATCCACAACAACAGAGGACGAAGACCATGTCATACTTACTACCCCACTTGCACAGCGGCTGGGAAGTCGACCAAGCGATCGTTACGGAAGAAGACCGAGTGGTGGTAATTCGCTTTGGCCGAGATCAAGACCCGACGTGTATGATTCAAGACGAAGTCCTCATGTCCATTGCAGAGAAAGTCAAGAATTTTGCCAAGATCTATGTGGTGGATATCGACCAAGTGCCAGATTTCAGCAACATGTACGAGCTGTACGATCCATGTACCACCATGTTCTTCTACCGTAACAAGGTGAGTGGCTGACTCGACTCATCGAGTTGGTTCCTTGTGGTTGTTGCCTTTTCTGCCTGTTTCTTGCCATTTCCTCACAGAGCGTTTCGTTGTACTGCTCCTTTGCTCAGCACATTATGGTTGATCTCGGGACTGGTGACAACAACAAGATCAATTGGGCGCTTGCAGACAAGCAAGAATTCATTGATATTATAGAGGTAAGTGGCTGGGAGGGGGCTTGTACCGTACTGACTCACTGCCGGTTTTAGTTTCCTAAACAATAACTTGCTTTTGCTCTTGAATTCTGAGCAGATGGTTTATAGGGGAGCACGAAAAGGAAGAGGTCTGGTGGTGTCGCCAAAGGACTACTCAACAAAGTACAGATATTAGAACATTTGCAAAAGGAATACTTTGGCTCAAAGTCAGAGTCCTGCACGCTTGGTGCCCTTTTGGGCTACCAGTTAGTAGATTGATGACAAGCAAAACGACACACAAAGATCAATATACCACAATCAATGGATGTATAAAATATGCTCTCAAAATCAACCTCGGAAGAAGTGCAAGTATTTTGAAGACGTGCTGTACAGTACAGTCGAACCATCAACAATTTTCAAGCATTGTCGAGTGAGTTTGCGTTGTTCTTGGTTGGGACATGTATAACGGCTAGATTCCACAGTGCAGTATGAATGCAAGTAGCAAATACCGTAGGTTTTCTTTGTCGGGTATTTCTGAGCTAGAGTCTACATGTACTTTGATAGTTTGGCGTGGAAGAGGATTGCGTGCTCGTTGGAACGAGGTGGTTGTTTGCCTGCAAGAAGGCTACTGCAGGCTGCACCGGTACGATGTCATGACAGTGTCATCATGTAAGGTTGTTCTATAGCATCGAACCTGAGATTTGAAAGTAATCATGTTATTACAATAGAGTTGCAATATTATTTGTCCTCAAGAGTTGAAAACCACTATAGTACTAGTACCGGTAGGGCACATCCATACCGCAAACAGCAAACGTAGCGATCTAGCAGATTGGAGGCTCGACTTTTCGAACATCAGTGAACGTCGGATGCTTGCAACGGACGCATCCGAAGATCCTCTCTGGCAGCACGTCGGGACTGTCACCTTCAAACAGAAAGCCCATGTCCACAACCAGAGTCTTTGCATACCCGAGACTGAGTCGAATAACACCAGCGGCAACCGAACTCGAGCAACAGTCCAGAACAATTTCAAAGAATCGATTGTCCACCTCATCCTTCACATAGAGTTGCCGCAGCTTCTTTCCCATGATAGCAGGCGTGCTCCCTACCGCTTTCCGAACCATGAAATTACCTTGAACAATTTGAGGAATCAGCTTGAATGTCTTGTCCCTGAACTCATCGCTGTCTCCAAAGAAGAACTCCTTGCACAGCTTTGACGTTGGCGTCCCACTTGTGCCATCAATCTCACTCATGTCGTCTACAGCGAAGTAAAAGACGGCATGATACATTGGCTCCCCGGGGATGACAATGTTGAGGATAAAAATAAAGGGCGGCACATCACTCTTGAGGCCCTTGGCCTTGAGCTCTTTCTCTTTGCGAAGAGCGAGTTGCACGCGTTCGCTGGGATGCTTCGACATGCCCGAGTAGATTGGCGTGTCTACTTCAAGGATATCCATCGCGATCAGACGTGCTATCGAGTGCCCAGCATTTATCTTCATATTGTCGACCTTATAGGTTGGTCCACGAACAACAAAAGAATTTGCGTCCGGTTCGGCCCACTTTTCCAAATCAAAGGGTGGAGGATTCGACAGCAACCCCGAGGGCGAATCGTGGACTTTGTATGATTCGCGCGAGGCATAAGAGAAGTCGTAGTTTACCTCGCTCGTACCGGCCGGAATAGCTTTGATACTGAGTTCCTCTGTTTCGCCTGGGGGTAGATCGTTGATTTTCGGGCGGAAGTGATTTGTTGGTGGTTCAATGTCGAGCGACACGGTAACAAACCTATCGCGATTGATGGCGTCACGAATGTCGAGTAGCTGCATCAAAGCCGCAACACCATATGCATCGCCGTAGCTGCGCATAGAAACGAACGGAAGGGGCGATATGGGAACCCAACCCCGAGGATCTACTTGCACGACTGCTGTCAGGAGACACTCATCTGATTGGATGTCCAGCTTTGCTCCAGTTTTCCGGTTGAGCACCTGCTTCGGTGGGGATATGGTGTAAGCCTGGTGCATTTCGCCACGGACGTATCCTTCAATGGGGGGGCAGTCCCGATGCTGCACACTTTCATAGCAAATAATGTAAGAGCCATCCGGTTCAAAGCGCCAGTACCGAACAAGAACGAAATCACGAGGACACGTCCAAGATGGAAACAGATAAAGAGGACGAAACACAACGTGGATCTGCACAGAAACAGAGCCAAGCAGTTGTTAGCATGGTTTCGAGCACACACACACACACCTCTTCAAAGGAACACCAAAAGGAGCAACTTTAAATCAGAGCAGAGATCTTACAATCTGCACAGAAACAGAGCAAGCAGTTGTTAGAACGGTTTTTCAAAGGAACAACAGTAATCAAAGCAGGCAGATACGTGCATCCATATGATCATCCACCCTCTCCACGATTCTGAAGGATGTTGCTTGCTCGGATTGAGGCCCGAAGGAACCGTCGGGCCCGTTCGGCATCATTCTGGCATAGGACATGATGCACATGAAGGCGTCTAATGGAGATGTGCGAATAACAATGTGGGATTTGAGTAGTGAGCAGGTGCCTCCATCCACCGACAGGTTTGTAAAGATTCGCTTCACATGGCGATTCTGAAACCCACGGAAATCAGGTTGGACAATGCTTTTTTCTTCCCGAAAGATTCGTAGGCCTTGGTTGCCGGTTCCGAGCAACGAAATTGCCCATCCGTCCAATGGTCTCCATTGTGTGCTCGGCTCAAAGAGGAATGACTTGTCTCCCTTGCGATCGCCCAAATCCTCGGAAGAGGTCGACCCCAACTCGCGTGCAAGGAAGGCATTGTTGGCTTGTCCGCCTTCAAAGAGAATGCGGCCCCATGTGGTTTCTTTGAGATTCTCATACTCCAGATGAGCGTCAAGAGTTGACTTCCACAGTTTGGCATCTTCGTAGCTGGAAGTAGCGATTATGATTTCCGAGCGTTTGCTGGCGCCGCGTTTCGGAAGTCCGAGCACGGACGTGTTACTAGCTCCCGCCGCTCCAATTCCAATGCCAACAAAAGCCAAGCCAGCTACCAATCCCGCTCCCGCCGTGAGAATGGCAACTCCAGCTGCCGCAGAAGCAGCAACGGCCACCTTGGTTCCTTGCATGATCTTTTTTTGCTGTTTCTTTTTACTGGCCCTCTTTTGGTCCATATATTGCTTTTGCAGCTTGTCGCGTTCTTTCATTTTGTGTTCTGCGTACAATCGCTGTACCCGCTCGGTTCGCTTGAGACTGCTATCCATATTGTCGTTGGTGAAGCTCATGTTGAATTCTTCGGAAGCTGGCGAGAAGAGAACCTCTACGCCCTGTTCATTTGTATTGCCTTTCTTTTGCCTGCTTTTAGACGACCCTTTGGTCATGTTCTTGAAGGCTTTGGAGGGCTTTGGAAAATAAGACTTTTTCTTTTTCTTCTTCGCGCTTGTTGGAGCTTTGCTGCCATTGTTGTTGTTGTTGCCATTCAAAATGCTGTTGCTCTCCACAGACCGATTGTCTTCTTCAATGAGAGGGAGTCCATTGGGTGCCGAGAGCACAGGAGAGGCACATCGTTCTGTTTCATCAGCGCCATAATTGTCGAAGAGATACTCAATGTCTTGGTCCAAGACGTTTTCTCCTGCATCAAAATTCTGTCCGGGAGTACCGAGCAACCTTCGGTGATCTGGACCCGTGCCAACCGAAGAAGCATCGTCTCGACCCACAAATGAATCATTCAAGTTGGTGTCATTCAGCCCACCATTGCCCGCGCCTGCCTCATTGTTGTTCCATGACAGCCTGAAACAGTAGATGAGCTCTTTTCCATTGTTTTTGGGGCGTTGGGACACATAGAGATTGCCTACTTCACATCCCGCGTCTCGGGTTATTGCATACGACCGTCGAGCTCGTTCAGCACCCTTCTTTTGGTAGTAGGATAGAGTGTTGTCTGCCGAAAACACAAAGTAGCGCTCATTCCAATAGTGATGGCTCGTCCTCTTTAAAAGAGTGCCTTCCAGGATGCATTCATTGCCACTGACCGAGATGTCTCCGCCGTTGGAGGACAAGTCAGGTTCCATTGTTTCTTGCTTGCTTTGGCTGAGCTAGCTAGCTAGTTGAAACTCAAAGCGTTTGTGATTGTATCACTGGATCAAAAAGTGGAAGGACCCCACGCGACGCGGAACGGTCTTCAATCGAGAAGCACACACAATGACAAATCAATGACAACTGTCGAACTTCTAGCGATCGGCAACCACCCTCCCTGTACAAGCCACGGTAGTTCCTGATGCAATGCTCTGTTATCGGCTGCGAAAGGACTGGTCCTGCATATCTTTGTGCCCTAGCTACCAGTACCAGTAGCTGCTATTCAATAGCTAGCTAGCAAGTGCGCTGTGGGAGTGTTGTTGTTGGCTGAATTGACCCTTTATCGATTGATCGCGTTTTACGGTGAAAATAGACTCCAACGGCTCGTTTTGCTCAGGGAGTTGGGGGAGTTCAATTTTGAGGATTTTCATTTTGAGTTTGACCATTTCATTCACCAGAGTAAAATTGCATTCTGGTAAAAAGTGATACATGATTTCACGTAAAATTGGTAGAGTCGGCGGGCTACCGGTAAACTATTTTTGTACCGTTTTACCATTTTATAAAAGCTCAAATCACTGTTCAAAATTGTTTCACCATTTTTAGAAAAGGTCAAATCACCGTTTCAATAGGCGGACCCGTGGGTTCGAACCCCCTCGCCAAGGTCATGGGCGCCATGGGCTGGAGAGATTGGCTGTGGTACCAGTACTAGTACAGCATCCATGTACGGTACGTACCTGGTACTGCGGTGAGCCTCAGTCCCGCTGCAGGAGGAGATTCTGGCTAGGCTACCAGGTGGTAGCTACCAGGTACTAGTACCTGGTACAGGTACTGCCGGTACTCCCGGTAGGGATTTCGTGGCACCTATGCTCATCAAATAAGGCCACAACGGGGCGGCCGAGTTCTTGCGGTGGAGAGTGCTTCGCCCTATCGTACCATCGAATTCTGTTTCTTGACTCTCCGACTTTATGCAATACTAGTACGACTGTACTCATTAAAAAGACTGGACAGAATAGGGCTGAATACCGGTAGCGGGTGGTGGGAAAGCCAATCAAGGGCTAGCTTGTCCCACGGTAGAAGCTCAAGAGAGCTGCGGAGGCCGCCCACTACTATTAATAGACTCAAGGGTTGGTGGGATTACATGTAGTGCTGGCCCAAGAGGGGCCGATCTTGGGGGCAGAACCCTGAGCTTGCCAGAGACCATCCAGTAGGAGAAACATTCCACTTGGATGAAGGGGATGAACACAAGCAAGCGCTTGATTTCTGGTCTGGTTCATGATAGATGTGTACGAAGAAACAACGTACAAGATTCTGACTTGCCACAGCCCGTACGGTACATGAAAATCGCCCACCCACGCCCACATCCACCCTTGGCGGCAGGATAAGGTGAGCACGAGAGCGAGTGCATAAAGAGCTACTAGTACTAGTCTAGTAACAAATCAAGATCCTGCACCCATGTTACGGTGGAAAAGAGTGCCACACATGCTATAATTGCCGTCGCACCGCTGTGAGCCTATAGTTACTTTACGCTGCATGTCAATCAAACTTGCATAAGTTGCCTCTTTGCCTATAATACTTATCACTATGTGCATGGAACATAAAGGTTCAGTTAGTGCTGCGCGTCATAATGGCCATGCATCAGGTGTTCTTCTTCTTCATATGGCTCGAAATCCAACGGCAAATCGTCGTCATCTTGGAATTGCTCCCTGTCATGGGGCATGTCCAAAAGCTCGATGAAGCCCAGGCCTCGTGGAATGACGGAATATTTGTTCCATTCAGCATGGGAACCGAAAAAGTGTGCCTTGATGTGCTCCATATTGCAGGTGGGAGCAACACCCTCCAATTGATAGATCTCTCGGCAGAAGTTTAGCAGAGATGGCGTCAACATGACCAAACGGGTATTGGCTTTGAAGTAGAAAGCATAAACTTCATCGTATCGAAGTAATGTGACAAACAAACGAATGTCAGCATCTGTCAGAGCATCTCCAGTCAAGTATCGTTGCCTTTGAAGAATAATATCTGCCTTGTCAAAGGCCTCTGTGAGCTCGGCGATGGCTTGATCATAAGCGCTTTGTGACTTGGCGAATCCACATCGATATACTCCATGTATCATCAACGGATATAGCCATTCACTCACTTCGTTGAGCTTTTCCATGCCTTCCTCATCGTCCTCTGTGTAAAGGTCAAGGTCAGGGTTCCTTGCAAACTCATTGAAGCATGAATTTAGCATGTATGCAATATCGGACGATTCATTGTTAACAATGGTGTTGAGTTTCTTGTCCCATATCAGCGGAATAGTATACTTGCCAGAAGTATCACAGGCTTGCTCATAGATGTTTCGGATGCTGTAGGCGTTGAAGATGGGATCAGGTTCATTGTCTGGATAGGCAGGTGGGAAGGGTCCACCTCGTCCAATAGTATTGCTGAAAGGTTCGCCGTGGGGATCACCAAAAATCCAGCCGCGGTGCTTGTCATTAGGATCGATCAAATTGGTGTGTCTCCAAGTAGGATGTACAATTGTAACGGAAACAACATCCTGAAGTCCTTTCAGGGCGCGTACGATGAGTGCTCTGTGGGATCCAGGACATGCATAAGATGCATACAGGTGGTAGCGACCGATTTCTGGCTGAAATTTTGACCCGGGTTCTGATGATGCATCGCAAAAGTGTGAGCACAAAAGTGTGAGCACAACCATCATCATCTGATGGTACCCTTGGAACAGACGTCAACAACTACGGATTTGATTTGGCTAATTCACTCACCATTACTGATAAAATCGCGCCAAATAGTTTCTGGCAAGAATCCCTGGTTGGGTGTCAAAGCTTCCTGTATCTGCGAGGGTGATTCCATCATGTGCCGTCCAGGCAAGCTGTGACGCCCTTTGTAGTGCATTGGTTCGTGTTCAATTTTCTTTTCCTCTATTTTCTCTTTGGCAGACACGACGGAGCCTGATGGAAAGGAATTATGTCCGCTGGGCGTCATTGTACTGAAGGCGTCAGCGTTGGCTTCACCGTCAAACTCGCTCGCAAGGCCTCGTTTCGAAGGGGGTAGCAAGTGCTGAGGCATGTCACCTGCGTGTATGGTATGACGGCGAGGTGTACTGCTGTACACCGAATGACAATCTGGATCATCCAGCGCTTCGCTGACGTTGCTCATGGGGCTTCCAAAAACCTTTATGGAGCCCCCTCGCGGCATCGCGCTCATTCGATAGCCTCGAAGAAGTGCTTCTGCTTCTTGCCGACGTTTTCGTAGTTCTAACTCTCGCTGCTTTTGCTGAATATACCAGGCATCCATTCCATCGGCGGAAAGATTCGATGGCGGTTTGTGGCTGATACCTGTGCCATCTTTCTGAGCTCTCCTCATGGACCTTAAGAAGGCCTGGGCCTCCTCAGGTGTGGTTAATGGAGATGCAGCTGTCCACGAGAGTGATATTGCAGTACGTGAGAAAAAACAGAAACGTCTCTACTAGTTTTCTAGTTTTCTGGAGTGGGTATACGTACCATTCTTCAACTTATCTCGTTGATTTTTGGCAAGGTGCTTTTGACGGAGCTCATTGAGCTCCTGCTGCACTGTACTCATTTGATGGGTCGACATCGTAGCACCATGGAGCGATAGACACTCACAGCGTCCAAATGAATGAGGAATCAATTAACCGATGACATCAACAGCTTATCAACAGCTCATCAACCAACTTGATAGAACAAATACTCTGATTGCCAACAAACGAGGAAGCAGCAAAAATATTTTATGAAGAGAGGTGCGGCGCCCACTTTTTTAGACGCATCCGCCCGCGTTCTAACAGTCTCGTTCTTTTTGACTAAATGAAATTTTCTACAGTTCAAGCAAGGAAACGTCCATTTTAGATCAAATGTGCAACCATTCAAAGCAGTGTTTAAGGCTGGGGCTTCGGAGGCAAAAACGTTAAACCCACGGTCAGCCCCCCTAATAGTTTTTAGACTTTGGGCTTGTTTTGTTGCTGACCCGAAGGCCATGGGTGAAGTTGCAGTTCCAATGAAGTGGGGGATATCGTCGAAGGAGAATTGTCACCGGAACTAGCTCAGCCATTGCCAGTATTGTAGTTTATACTGCTCTCAACGATTGGCCAAGAGAGGTGGCAAGATTGGTACAACCTGTACCTTTATCCGTCATCACATTATAGTAGTATGCTATCAGTGCTGCTTGACATCCCTGCTTGAATGTTCTGAGGTCGAGTTGCACGTTGCGTGGCAAAATTAGCTAGACCAGAGCCGGAAACTCGGCAGAACCAGGGATGACCAAAGAACCAACTTCAAAAAGGGAGGAATGGACCAGGCTACATCATGACGCTGCTGGCTACGGTACCAGGGCGGAAGAAGAGGATATGCACTCTTTTGACGGCTTTCATGGTTGGCCCGCCTGCATACATGTAGCTACTACATGTTTTCTATGCAGTTCTAAATTCCGCTGACGCGGCATCGATAGCTATGGCTCTGCTGCAAGCTTGTTGGCTGGGGTCTTTTTGACTTTGAACGTGCAGACGCTGACTCACTCATCATCAGACCTATGTACACACGCACACTTCACGTTGTACGCTGTAATCTTTGAAGTCTTGAAGGACAAAAACCGCGATGTCTGCCGCAAGGCCAACACCACAAACCGTGATCGAGATGGATGCTTTCCATCGCACAAATAAAATAATAAAGAACACGTCAGCGTCACGATGAGAAAATGAAATGGCCTTTGGTGCCGTATGCCGTACGCGTACCGGTACGGCGATGTCGGAGGCTTATCGCGTTTTGACGTGAGCTCTTGAAAGCTGATGCCATCATCGCAATTATTCATCACAATATCACAATACAAACACCTCAAGCTTACCATCGGTATTACCAACACATCAAAGCATCATGTCCAAGGCCCGCACAGCTCTCGAAGAAATGGGAAAGGATGGCTCCTTCAAGCGCAAAGACTCCGCCTGGAGAAGCTGGATCAGCAATGGTACGTTTATGATACTGTTCTGTTCTGTTCTGTTCTGTTCTGTTGGGTGGAACATGTAATGTTGCCCAGTTCTGACCCGGAATGCTGTACTGCTTTGACTGATTGCAGAGGAGGGAGCAGAATTTCCCCCTGAAAGCGGGCGCTACCACCTTTTTGTGGCCGCTGCCTGTCCTTGGGCTCAACGAACCCTCCTCACACGTGCGCTCAAGGGATTGGAAGATGCGATTTCGACCACTGTAGTCCACCCCACGTGGAGGAGGACCAGACCCGATGACGACGAAGACAAGCACTGTGGTTGGGTCTTTGGAGCTCCTAAAGGCTCTGACGAAACATTCAAAAATTCTATCGGCTTGGGTGGTCCTTTCCCTTGTCACATGGATGGCTGCGAGCCCAACCCTCTCTTCGAAAGCAAAGCCGTTCGTGATATCTATGAAAAAGCCAAGGACACCGAGGGAAAGTACACTGTTCCTATACTCTGGGACAAGAAGAAAGAGACCATCGTCTCCAATGAGTCTGCTGAGATTATTCAGATGCTTAACGGGTGTTTCAACGAATTCGCCAAGAATCCAAAACTTGACCTAGAACCTGAAGAACTCAAAGAGGAAATGGCATCTGTTGACACATGGATCTACAACACTTTGAACAATGGTGTCTACCGTTGCGGATTTGCATCCTCTCAAAAGGCGTATGAAACTGCAATTACGGAGTTGACGGATTCCTTCGACAGAGTGGCTCAAATCCTCGAGAAGCAACGGTTCATCGCTGGTGATCAGATTACACTCTCGGACATTCGCCTCTTCCCAACTTTGTTGAGGTTTGATGAAGTGTACATTGTATACTTCAAGTGCAACACACGCGCTGTCCGGCACACTCCGGCTATTCTCAACTATTGCCGTGAGATCTACCAAATGGCAGGAGTCAAGGGAACTGTGGACATGGCACAAATCAAGATGCACTACTACACGTCGCATCCTCATTTGAACAAATTCTCAATCATCCCCAGAGGACCCAACTTTGCCAAGTTGCTGGAAGCACCGCATGACCGCAACCTTGTGGCCAACAGCAAGAAGCAAAAGGTCGAAGAGTAATTGGGGAGAAAGTGAAACTTGTTTGTTTGCTACTGGTACCGGTACCGGAAGTTTCCCATACGGTACATGTAGTTAAATGCACGATAGAGTGTGCTTTTGTTTTTTATGCTTGCAACGGTATTAGCCTGTATGTAGCCGTGAACCCTCGAGACGACAACGACGTGAAGAGTCTTGATTGCTAGCTAGGACTGCCATGGGCTGTGTGCGCTACGCTGACTGGACGTATAGCCGTGAACCGCCCGGTCGACGAACCAGCTGCAGTTCCCCTCGAGACGACAACGACGTGAAGAGTCCTCATTAGGACTACCAAAGCTGTGTGGGCTACGCCGACTGGAGCGACGTGTTAGGTTTGCAGTTTTGGCTTGCAAAGCGCAGCTATATATTATGTTATTCGGGTTTTGTTTTTCTGGTTTTCTTGATAGATGTCAACTGCATGCACTGATATGAAGCAAAGGGAAGGGACGGTGAAAACTCTGGGGCAACTACCGTCTTAGCAACTTGGGGGAGAAGGTCAACACGCTCGACCGAAAGGGCGCCCCGAAACTAGACTTCAGCTTCTTGGAAGTATGCGCCAGATGGATCCATACCAGCAGCGAGTGGCGGCGGAGACATGGCTTTCTCCCTCTTCTCGCTGGCGGTTGTGCCGTCTGAGAGGTGGGTGAGAGGATACTCGTGAGAATTCCTAGGAAAGATATCGTTGGCGTGAAGAAGGGGTGGAGTTTCAAACATTGAGTGAAAAGAATAAGAAGGTGAGTCATCGTCGATCATGACGGTGGTGGGAGAGTAGGGCCCGCCATCTCCGAATGGGATGGCCTCCGTAAAAGCTACCCCTTCAGAATAATAATCCTCGTCAGACTGAAAGTCTTCATGCCTGGGGAGACCAGCGTGGACGTTTTCTGGTGGGTCAATGAGTGATACGAAGGAATCATCTTGCAACATGTTGATCTTGGCGCTGCACAGGGGATCATCTTCTTCCTCCTCTTCGCCATTCTCTTCCACTTCATCGCTTTCAAGGCTTGCATCAGTTTCCTCTCCCCCCTCCACTCGTGACGATCCACTAACACGTTTCTGTTTTCTCTTCAGAGTCATCTTGCGCCGTTTAATTTGCTGTTTCACCTTTTCCAAATCGTTTGTGGCACCATCCAACAAGCCTCCGTCCTTGAGCCATTCGACAAGCTTTGACTGCGATTCCTCTTTGTACTTTGTCACAATAGCTCGAGCAGCAGGGGCCAGGCCTCTTTTGCGAGGGGTTAGGTGTGCCGTAATCTGTATACATGGAAAACAAGAAAAATCAACTGACTTAGTCAATTGAAAGATGATTCTAACTAATAAAACAAAACTCTCACGCGAGAACTTACATCGTGAGTTCCCGAAGTGAAGATTTCCATCCCACTCATAACACGGCAAAAGCGAGCCTTGAAGCGACAGCCGTTTTTCTCAGCTGAGCAGTGAGCTAAGCGCAGAGCCTCCTTACCCTTCCAATCGCCTCGCCCCTTTGTTACTCCACGCTTAGCAGGAGTCATGTCATAGAAACCGACCGGAAACAGGGTTTCACTTTCGGTTGCAATAACATGCTTTTCCTCGACAGTCACATTGGACGGCTTCTCGCAGCCAAACGGAGGGAGAAGAGCGCCATTCGGCGGCTCGATCAGTTTGCAGAACTCCCACGGAAGCCACAACCTCTTCACAGTTTTGGTCTTCTTCTTACCACGGGTAGCTACTGTGCCACCGCTACTGGCGGCATTGCTACCACTACTGCTACCGGGAATCGCTTCTTTCTTGCTACTCGTTGATGGTGGCATTGTTCTATAGGCCAATGCCAGCTAACGATGGTGAGGATACCCTTCCAGAGACCACACCAAGAAGTATGACAAAAGTTTGTGAAAATTAGATGACAAGAGAAGCAACTCGACTCTGGTCTCTCCAATTCACAGGAGAGTGCTCGACGAGCACTATTCATCTCAAGCCGGTAGCTGGCTAGTCTCTTCTATGCCGAAGGCCTACCGTAGGCTAGTTGCATGGATTCGATTCCGGTCCGAGTCGAGTCAACAAATAAATAACAAATAATTACAGGCGAGAGGGTGGATTGATCAAAATGTGAGCAAAATCGCCGGCCCAGCCTCATTTTTCTAAAAAAATTATCTTCGGTACAGAGCACCACCACCCAACCCATCTAAATACGACGACGACACTGATTTACACGGGGGATTTTGGTTGTGAATACTATAATAACAGCCTATCCTACATACATGTACATGTACTGTATGGCATTGCTGGGCTTTTGACAGGCTGGCACAGTGGCATCTCACTGTTCAACTCGAGCAGGCATGCTCTCTCGGTTTGGGCCCTACCAACTAGTCAGCCATCTCCGAAACTCTGTTATCGGCCTTTCGCACAGTCGTCGTAGCTACCGGTATCGGAGACTGGCTTGTCTACTACCGCATTCTGTGGGACTGGGTCGTTCTGGAGAGGTTACCCTGTGAATTTCACCCTGTCAAACAAACAGAGCTGTTCCGCTAGCTAATATCTCGCTGGTAATCGAGTAAATATCTGATATTCTAGACTCTTCTAAGTGTTGCTCGGCCGTCTCTCTTTACTTACTAAGCAACTCGGATAGCAGGAAGAGAGCCAGATGCCAGGATCTACCTGCTGGTTGGTATCTTGTTGGCTCTGGTTGAACGGGTCGGTTGACCCAAACAGCTACGACGAATCCAACGAAGAACGGAGGGTTGCCTCGAGTCTTAGCGGCAACAAACTTGGAGGGTTTGAACTCTAAGCCAGCTTCTGTTCCGGAAGCGTTCCTTTCACCAAACCGACACGCCCAGAATCCTCCCAGCATGTATTCTGCTGGAGACCACGTCTTTGCAGGTCCAAATTGTTTGGGCCTCCAAAAACAAAGTAAAATACCACTACCTTCATCGCAGAGGTAACGATTTCGCTAGCTATTAACAGCATTGGCTAGCACCCAGCATTATGTTGCCGCGGTGAATTGGAAAGGGGTGGTAGCACCGCCATTACGAGCAACCTATTGCCGACCTGTCCTCTAGAGCTCTAGAACGCCACCTCGAGGATAGCTCGAGCTTCATTGAGTGCATCAAAGTGTGTGACTGGCAGCCTCGAAAAGATCCTCTGGGAATGAAAAGATCCGGTATCTTTTTGACAAAGATCTTTTCGAACTGACGTCATTCACCTCATCATCCGTGAGGTTTCCTCACGACTTAATCCATGGGGGTTTCCAAGGGGGTGTGTTGTTCCAAAATTTGGCAGCACTTCACACAGGAAAATACTGTACCAAGACATTTTTTAATGATTCTTATCCGGTAGCTTTTAGACAGCTTGGAAATGGCATGTTGACTTATGCACTTAATATTTCTACCTGTGATTATGTATCTGAGATGAAAACTATGTAAAATGTCTCATGTGGTGGATACGGTTTAATCATTTATGCTATGTTGAAGCAGCTCTATTGGAAGCATGCCTCCTTCTTATGTCACGCATTCTCCTTTCTTCTTCTAAATCCCACTCCAAAACAGCAGGAGTCAGCCTTGACAGTCTCCTTCGCATTTCTCTCAAGTCGTGTGACATTGAAAAATCAGCATCGTGCTGTAGTTCTTGCAGCAAATAGAGGCCTTGTCTAGTGCGAACTCTAGATAAGGCAACGTAGTTCCAGTTTTTTCTTTTCGACCACACTGCAACAACTAGGTTGTGTTTGTTTTGGCCCTGTAGCTTGTGGCCAGTTGTTGCTCTGTTGGTGATGATAGGAAATTGGAGCAGACTGGCAGTCAAATTGATTGTAGCTTGTACATGGCCAGCAATTGCCTTCGGAATGGGAGCCTGGATAGAGCATTGCAGAGTTTTTGGATGGATCTTGAAAATTTTCTGTGGATCCTCTTCAGAACTGCAAACAAGATAATCAACATTGGATGCATCCAGAGCTGGGCATTCATATCCATCAATAATGATTGTGGAGGCTGTGACATTGGGTTTTGTGACTACAGCTTCCAACAGAACACGGGTCCCGTTAGCATGCCCATTAGGCACATCATCATTTGAAACCAGCATCAAAGGAATATGATAGTAGAGCTTCAACATTGGGTCAATAAAGTGCCCCCCTCTGCGACCCCGTATTTTGGCTCTGATACGATGATCTCCGCAGTGCTCAAAGATGTAATGCTTGTCAGTTTCTTCCATCGGTATCTTTTTTTTTGCCTTGTTAACACGGACCATGTTTCCAGCTGTAATTGCAACAATATGGTTCGGGAGACTTTGACATGTTTGCCAATGTGCTTTCAACACATTAGAGAAGACACCGGCATTGATGGCGGTTCGATCAGCATTGCCATACACACAATATGATGCATTTCCAGGAATTGCTCTCGGTTTGACTTTGATACAGCATTGGTTGACAGCATCGATATCATGCTGTGTATATGTATCATTTCGCAACCTGGACAAAATGCGCCCCCATTCTGGATCTTCTCTAAATCTGTGTAATCCAAAAAGCTCAACGTAACAGTTAATGGAGTTAATCCATTTTTTGTCACTGTGGAAAGGGGAATATAAAGGACTGCCTTTGACTGGCTCAAGTTGTCTGCGAATCAATTAGTGAGGTGATCATTTTATTAAGAGCTGTACCTGGTAGTTGATTTGAATTCTTTGTTGAGCTTACCTGAAGTCTCCACAGAAGAGAATATGAATCCCACCAAAAAGAGCATTGTACTTTCTCATGAGACATCTCAGCTTTTCGTCCAACAGATCCACCTCTGCTGTGGACATAAAAGAGACTTCGTCAATGATCAGCAATCGAGCATTGGCCCAAGTGGTATCTTTCTCGTCAATGTTTCTGAAGAATGCTGCCACGGAATGAGTTGTTTCCCCTCCTATTGAAACAGCTGCAACCCCTGACATGGCACTGACAATAATAGTGCGCATGTCAAATTGTAAACCCAATCGTGCGGTGAACTCTTGGGCATATTTTAGGAGCTCTTGAACAACACGACTTTTCCCTGCCCCACCTGCACCATCAAGATACATAATCAACTGGTTGTGACGTAGTCTAGACATTCTTTGGAGTTTGCCCTTTTCATTTCTGAAGTCACGTCTGATTTGGCTTGGATTGTCAGAGCAAGTTCTGTACACAGATGGATCAAGACTTTCTGCATCTTGATAGTATGTGAGCATAAATGCTGCTGTAACAATCTGAAAAGCAAGCTGCTGTTCTTTGTCTAAGTTCAGATCAGGTCGGTGCGACCATTCAATGATGGACAAACATGTACCATCGGCTTCCACATAGCTCTCAAGTGATCTTGCTAATTCTGCTGTTTGTTCAGCTAGTTGCAGCCTTCGTCTGGTATTACGGTAGGTAAGCTCCATGAGCTGGAAGGGAGTTGGCTTGTCCCGTACTGTCATATCATTGGAACCAGCAGCAGCTGTTGTAGTAGAATTACCTTGTGGTGATGCCCCCGCTGAAATGAATTGGGTGGGAATCTCGCTTCTTCTTCTGTAGAGATTTGTTCTTTCTTGTTCTTCTACTGAATCACTTAATGAAGGAGTACACTCAGCAATAGAAGGTAGGTTGTTAAATCCACATCCCCTGGCTCCAGCCTTTTGCAAGTTGTTCAGTGACAATTTTGCTGGCGCATTGGTTGATATAGCTCCTGTAAGCTGTTTGTGCTCAGATGATAACAGATTGAAGACACCGTCGAAAAAATTGTCATCATCATCTTCTTCCTCTTCCTGTGAATCTTGGTGGTTTGACTTAGGTCCTTGGAATGACTCAGTACAGTATCTCAATGGATCTTCTTTTGCTGGCATACGTACACTATTGTAGAACATCTGGATATTGCACAGGAGCTCCCTTATGTGATCTGGGACTCCACAGTGATAAAGCCTTTTGAACTTCTTATGAAAAGAACCATCGATGGTAATGTCCTCAAGAGTTCTGAATGGGTGGTACAGCACCAGTATAGTGCGACAGTAGTTCTCGATACAGGTCTGCACAGGATACTGGTTCATTTCCAAAAAGTCACCTCCAAACGAAGCTGCATCAGGAAAGGCCCAATGGGAAAACTGAGCCAGGACAGGCTTTTTCCTCTTCCGTATGATTTGCTTCTTGTAACCAGGATGTGCTTCATCATCAATTGTGAAGGTTCCATCAGCTTCATCAGTGTCACTGGGCGTATCACTTCGAATGATCTCATACTCTTCAAAGAAATCCACCAGACAATAATCCTCAAACTTTTTCTTGGGTCGCTGCAAATAGTGGAGGGCTTCACTGGTTAAAAAACAGCCACTCTCGTGATTCAACACTGACATATTCATGGTTTGGACAGATGTTCTCTGACATATAAGGTCCACTATTTCACGAATAGGGATGTACTTGAAGTCATGTGACCACTTGAACCTTGAATGGTTGCGAACCAGGTAGGCAGCCATTGGGGCACTCACAACATGTTCACTTGTACCAACAATAACCGTGCCCATTAAGCGCGACAACCCCTCAAAGAGAGTGTTCTCTTTGTGCTCTTCTAGAAATCGATGAGCCACATAGGAACTCACTTTCTTTAGTTCTGCAGTGTCTTCTTTTTGGGTGCCCTTTGCTGCATAGCAACTGCAGTAAATTGCAGGTCTCGCTCCAGTGGTGACTTGCACATTTGAGTTTGCTGGACACTTACAAGTAGAAATTGGGATGCAGTAGGAGTTGGTAGAAGCATCTTGCATGAGGCGTCTTGGCCTGATGGTGATATTATGCTGACTTTCTTTTGCACCCCTCCAGTTGAATGTGTCATACTCCAGTTCACTGTAAATAACATTGGAGACTGGTTCCGGAATATCAGGAAGATTGCACCGGCCTTCATCACCCTTCTTGAAACAAGTCTTTGTGTGTTTGCTTAGGTGATGGTTGTACTTGTAGTTGTTGATAGCAATAGCTTGTTCCGATGGAATTGCTTCTGCAGTTGGAGTTGTGTTCCTGAGAACATCTAAAGCCACCTGTGCTTTCCTTTCTGGTTCTGGCACATTCCACAGTTCTTTTGGTAACACCCGCTTCATAGCAAGTTCATCCCCTTGGAAACAAGCTTTGCAAAGGGGGCAAGATGCAATAATTCCCTTTTCCACCTGGCAACCGACCTTGTGTCTCAGGTTTCTCAATTTCTGTTCATCCACATATGTCAGCAAGCCATTGTTGCATGTGGGGCAATAGTCCCCTTGCCATGGTGCATTGGGTACCAATTCTGTTGAGATGACACGATCCACAAAGGAGAGCACTTTCTTTTCAGCTGCCTTTCTAACTTGGTCATGAGAAGAGCTTAAATCTCTCAAAGTGTCGTTCCAGTCTGTAGTGTACACCAGAATATGTCCATGCAGTGTATTGCGTCCTTGTTCTTCAACTGCAAGTCCATAGGCCAGGAGGGTTCCAAATACACCCAATTTCAAGGCATTATCTCCAACAATGCTTTCCAGCACAACATCCATAAGCTCTTCAAAGTTCCAAGCACATAAGCCTGGATATTTATAGCGAATGGCATTGCATTTGTCCATTTCTATTGCCACTTCCTCTGGTGACATACTGTCCATTGAAGCAATCCAGTTGAGACTTTCTTCCTCTTCGGACCAAACCAAAATCCTTATGTCCAATGAATCGTCGAAGGACACAGTGAAAAGAACTTTTGGGCAGCCAAAATGATGTGTTAAAGTTAAAAATTTCGACTGAGCAGCTGCAGCTGCACCATTTGTGTGTGCCATTTGTTTTTTCACGGAATGGACAGAATCCAAAAAACGGCTGCCTGGACCATTTACAACTGGAAGTCCATTCAATTTACAGGCAATGGCTGCATTGAGATCCTCTTCACTGACATCGCATTTTTCTCTGCCACCCATTACCTGCCACAATGCACCGTTCAGGGCCTTGCATCGCTCGAACATGTTGTGGACCACTAACACAAAACATGCTTCATGCATTGATGGAATAGACAAGGATATCAGATGGCTCAGGTACCCATTCTGAGATGCCTTGATATTAAAGTCGTCATGAAAGCCAAATCCGTAGGGAAATTGCAAAGGGAAGGCACGCATCAAATTTTCATCCTCATAATCTCTGAGCAACTTGGAAGAAGGTCTTGATGTCAAGTATGGTAGAGCTCCAGCACATTTTGACCTGATCTCAGCTATGGCCCTATCGAATTCAGATGCATCAGCGCACCCAGCAGTTCGAATTGTGGCGTCTGGAAAGATAACCTTCATTTCCTCTTTGATTTCAATGTCTGAATTTTCTGACTCCACATTGTAAGAGTTATCAATTACTGTTGGATTTGCAATGGTTGGAAGCTCCAAGTCATGGTAGAGTCGATTGTTCTCCTTGAGCCAGTGGAATGCTTCTGTTAC